GGATTTGTTTTACATAATTCTTTGTCCTGTTTTAATAACATACATCAACTCCCAGGAAACACATCAAGATATGCTTAAATAAAAGGGAAAAGAGCAAGAAAGATGTAGTACAAAGCTTAGGACAGAGATGTGCAGAACATCTGACTCCCTGAACATGATCCTAACATATCTAATTGTTTGTTATATGTTTACTTTCTAGATCCTGGAGACCAAAAAATAGTTTTCTCATACCAAAATTATATTATAATTGTAAAATGTGGATGCTGAGTTACTTTGTTACTGGGGAAGATTTGACCTGTATTTATTTGAGAAAGATAAAAAAAAATTTTATAACTTACTAGACTAAGGCTTTATGAAATAATAAGTTACCATCCTACACAAATTGTTATAGCTACACAGAGAGATAAGCATAGGCTAACTGTCACAGATGGCCGTGGAGAAAATCAGACACCAGTGGACTTCAGGACGACCAGCATCTTCTGAGAATTTACAGCTGCATCTCAGAGTTGCAACATACTCTTGTTGGCCACGTCATTCCACAGTGCTGACACCTTCTAAAAGTACTGGATGGCATGTGTAAATTAAAATAAAATGAATGTTTAATTTAATTTTTAGAATATTTAGCAATATTTTGCAATTCCCCTGGAGAACCAGAAGCTCCTTGGACCGTTGCAAAGCCAGGGCTAGCAATCCCTGCCAGAGAAGACAAATGGCATCGACTGTTTCTAAGAAGTCAAGAGTGGTATGAAATGGCGCCAGAACATGTCACTGTCACTTGTTTGATTTGAATTTTTGTAAAAATCAAGAATTTATCTCTTCAAGTAAGTATCTGAACAGTGAAAACCCTTCATCGCAGATGAAAGGAAAGTAGAGCCTGGGCACTTGCCCCACAGTCGTTGACCAATTCCAGCGATGGAAAACCATCTGCGTCCTGGCTAAGCACAGCACAACTGGATGCTCTGTACAACAAGTGACAGCTCTTCCCACCATTCCTCTGTCCCATCCAAACACGGATATTTGCTTCAGTCTGCAAGTGACTGAATGCATGGACAGTTTCTGTGTCGCTTGTGTGAAAACAAACCAACCTCTGCAACCCACTTTATAGCTTTCAAAGTATGTTTCCCTCTTCCATATCCTGCGCTCCTTTTTCATACACAACCACAAGTCAGAGGGTAATGAAAACGAAGTTTTTATGATGTATGCAACCTGCCCTTCTCCTCAGCTCATCAAATCAGGCTGAAAACATCATTGGTGCATATTTATTTGAGAGTTGTGGGAACATTTCTATGTTTTCTTAGAAATAATCAATTAAAATGGAATTTTAATCACATTGCAGCTTTCCAAAATGACAGTTGAACTTTAGATGTTTCAAAATGTGGCCAAACTAGTACCTACACTGTTTTATTCTGTTCAGTTCAATTAAGCAACTATTTATAGAGCACTGGCTGTGTACAGGGTATAGGGGTCCCTGGAGAACACAAACAGTGGGGAGATGGGATGGGATGCAAGAGATCCTATGGAATGTGGGAGCACAGGGCACTGGGAAAGCACCAGGAGGGGCACCACTTCCACCTTGGGAAGGTGGCCCATGTCTATGCAGCGCGTTAAGAAGAAACATACTGTTTGGATTACAGAAAGTGGTATGAAAGCATCCTGTTTGGGGAAAGCAAATGAAAACAAGCATGTTGTCCCCCTTGGCTTTGTCCATGTTCATCATGTTTTCTTCCAAGTTCCTCCTCTTATCTCATCAAGGGCTTGTGACTCCTCATGAGCTGCACAGGATGCTGGCTCTAAATAGAATCCTGGGAACGGGTCTGGAAATGCCTGCGTCTGCCAGGGTGTGGGAGGCAAACGGTGAAGGGCCCAGGCAGGGACACAGGCACAGGGGAGAAGATACCCGCTACACAGCTGGCTCTGATTAACAAAACAAGTGAGGCCAGGGATAGGCAAGGCCAAAAGGCCCAAACCTTGATAATGATCACCATGCTTTCTTTTGATGGGGCAATCCTCTATTCACTTGTCACCCCTATTAAGCTGCAAGTGGGTGTAGCTCAGGACTGCTTTTTTATCCCCATTGTTTACTACCATGGTGCCTGGCTCATAGTAGCTCTCAGAAAGTGTGTTTCTTTTTTTAAAATAAAAAAAAAAAACACTGGAAATCCCCAAATTAAAGAAACACACACACATACACACACACACACACACACACACACAAAATCCTATTGCTTTTTAAAAAATTATATAAAGATGTAAAAGTTCCCCTCTCAAATCTTCCCTCACTGTTTTCCTTTGCTAAGACAGATTTATCAACATATACAATAAATGCTGATTGAGTCAATTAATAAATGAATGAATAAATAAATCTAACAGAGTTGAAGAAGCCAAAGAAAAGAATGTCAGAAGTTAGGCCAACCACCAAAAGGCACACACAAAATCCAGGAACGATGGCCAGAAGATCTGGGTACTAACATAGCACACCAGCTCAGGCTCGGTTCTAAAAATCCCTTCTTCAGGGGAGAAGCATTCTTGAGTAACCCTCTCTTGGAGGCTTATCGAAAATATGTGACTACAGGGTGACAGATCAGGGGCAGAACACACCCTTGTCTGTTGGAATCATATCCCTGGATGAGGCTCCCTGGTTCTGCATCCGGGGGCCTAAGCATCCGTCTCGAGTCAGGCACAAATTCCTCCCCCTGGAATTCAGGGTTTGCCATCCCCTAGCCATAGCCATAGCTGCTAGCTTGTAAGCTTCTGGGGAGCAGAAATTATGTTCTTTACATTGTATTGTTACGTGCAGTAGCTGGAGCAGTGTTTCACCAGAAAGTGTGCGTGTGTTTCCGGTGGGAGTGGGGTGTGCTCAATAGCTATTTATTAAATAACAAATTAATGTACCATCTCTGCCTTACCTACCCAGCATCTTCTCTTACAGTGCATGAACAGAACTTACTAGTTTCCTATTGCTGCTCTAATAAATATCACAAACCTGGTGGCTTAAAGCAACACAAATTTATTATATTTTATTTCTGGAGGTAAGAAATCCTAAAATCAAGGTGTTGGCAGGGCTGTGTTCCATCTGGAGGTCCTAGGAGAGAATCTGTCCTTTACATTTCCACCTGTTTTCCTTGGCTTGTGACCCCCTTCCATCTCCAAACCTGTTTCCATTGCTGCATTTCCTTCCCTGACCCTGACTCTCCTACCTTCCTCTGAGAACTCCTGTGATTTTACTGGGCCCATCAGCATAAACAGGACAAATCTCTTCATCTCAAGAGTCTTAACTTAATCACATCTGCAAAGTCCTCTTTGCTGTGTTTTGGGGATTAGGATGTAGACATCGTTGGGTCCCATTATTCTACCTATCATAGAGTCCTTGGGGCAGAAAGGGAGAATATCTGTGTACTTGCTAACCCAGACAGACTCCTTTTAAGGAGCAGTGTGGTCTCATTCCCTTTCCCTCTTTGGTCTTAGCTTCCTTATCTGTAAAATGAGGAAACTCATTCAACAAATATGTTACTAGATGTGCATATTCTAAACTTTGGGGGTACAGAATAAAGCAAGCAAAGGTCTCTAGTCTTGCGCTGCTTACACTCTAGAGGAAAAGAAAATAATATAAAATATGTTAGGTGGTAAGTGCTGAGGATTGGAGAGGAGATCACTGTGTCCAGAGTAGAGGAAGGCAGAGGAAGATGAGAAAGAGTCAGAAAGGGAGATTGGGATGGAGAATGTCAGTCATTTAGGTCTTAAGGGTCTTGATAAAGACTTCGGATTTTTTCCAAATGGCATGGGAAGCCACTGGAGGGTTTTGAGTAGAGGGAGTGACTATGATCTGGTTTACGTTTTAATGGGTCACTCTGGTGGCTGATTGAAAATATACCGAAGGGGGCTGTGGTGGAAGCAGGGAGATGTGTCGATTCCTTATTCTCTTTACTTTTGCCTTTCTCTGTGCCTCATTCATTTACACATCCATGCTTTGTTCAAGCAGTTATCTCTCCTAAGGGCACCCTGCTCCTCTTTCCAATTCAGAATTCTATTCAGTACCTCCTTCGAGATCCAACTCTGTGCTCATCGTGGAGCTGTAAGGAAATTCGGGGAACTTGTTGCCCTTTGTCCCCATCTTCAGATAAGGAAACTGGGGTCCAGAACCCTTAGGAAGCCTGTTGTTCAAGGTTATACAAATGGCAACCAGTGAGGCCAGGACTTCCCATAGAGTGTGATTCAAAGGACATTGAAAGGTCTTCATGATACAAAGACATTTCTCTTGAAGTTCTGTTTGCAGTTTCCCTCATTACACTGAGATCTTGAAGAACAATGATAGTATCTTATTGTGCACTTGGCATAGTGCCTGGGACAACAGACACCCAATAAGTACTTGTTAGGTGAGCCAATAACAGAATGTCAAACCCACAAGAATCTGTGTTTGTGTGTTACTAGCATCATGTCCCCCACTCCACTGCCTCTTGGTGTTAAAAGTCAGATAACTGGAAAGATCTAAAAATCTATGAGAGCTAAGCTGAGTGTTCTAGGAAAAGAGACCTTATTACTGTCTTAACAATAGGAGTGGCAACAGGATTGAAATGGGATCTTCCTAACACAGTAAAGGTCAGAGCTGTAGACCCTCTTTTTTCCCTTCTCTCCTTGATTCCTCAGCAGTTCTGGGAAAAGAAGGATCAAATAAGTTCTGAAAGTATGCTACTCTTTGAGGAGAAACCAAAGTACCATGTCCTGTGACCTTCTGTACCCTAGGCATAGTGGGTTTTGTTCTTACTGAGGTGATAACTAGCAGTGATAATGTAAGTGATGAGTGTAGTCAGGACTAGTGTGGGGTTGTGTGTGTTGATAAAATCAACTGAAGAATGATGAGGTTCATAATTTGGAAAGGAGACTTTATTTCTCACAAAGGGTTACAGCCTGCAGGGTGACCATTCTGAAAGGCTGGGAAGCAGAGCCTCCAGCCAGAAGCCAGAAACACATACTTTGAAGGAACGGGACAGTACAGGGCCAAACATACATATTTAATAAGCTATAGGAGGAGAAGGAATACTTATGAAAAAAGAAACATGTGCATGTGCGGTTGAACTTCATGCCCCTTCATAAATTGTAGGTACAAAAAATGGCAGTGTTAGCATGATCCAAGGGTGGTTTTCAGCCCGATGATGTCAAAAGGTGAAGCAGAGGACACAAAACCCCTCCCTGCACATCCTCTGCAGACTGGTCAGAACCACTCCATGGGTGGTGGCTTCTTATCTGGAAGGAATGCTGGTCAGTTGTAGTGCAGAAACCACAAAAAGGGAGGAGAAGCATTAGGCAGTTGATTGAAATCAGAGATGGAGCAAGTCTTTTCAAAATGCTGGTTCTGGCCGGGCGAGGTGGCTCACGCCTGTAATCCTAGCTCTCTGGGAGGCCGAGGCAGGCGGATTGCTCAAGGTCAGGAGTTCAAAACCAGCCTGAGCAAGAGCGAGACCCTGTCTCTACTATAAATAGAAAGAAATTAATTGGCCAACTAATATATATAGAAAAAATTAGCTGGGCATGGTGGCGCATGCCTGTAGTCCCAGCTACTTGGGAGGCTGAGGCAGAAGGATCGCTCGAGCCCAGGAGTTTGAGGTTGCTGTGAGCTAGGCTGATGCCACGGCCCTCACTCTAGCCTGGACAACTAAGCGAGACTCTGTCTCAAAAAAAAACAAAAATAAAAACAAAAACAAAACAAACAAACAAACAAAATGCTGGTTCTATTCAACCCTTAGGAAAGAAAGCCTAAAGGTGGTTAGTGAGGGAGGGGGTATGACAAGGTGTGTCTGACCTCCCATCCCGTCATGGCCAAGAATTCAATTTTAAAGTTTCTCTGGGATCACCCTGGCCAAGAGGAGGCCCATTAGGTTGGTTGGGGGGTTAGGATTTTATTTTTATTTCTCAACCAGGAGAGAGGAAGTGTGTCCTCATTCTGACTGTCAGTGGCCTTGTGGACTTATACAAAGCTATTTAGTTTCTAATAATATAAACACTGGGGGACTTGAGTTTACACTGCCATGTTTGTGCTGTAGAATGGTCCCTATCCTATGGTATTTTAATAAGTTTACAAGAAATCTTCCCTGCAATACTGGGCTTCTCCATGATGGGATCCACATCCCAATCCTCCACCGAGCACCGTAACTTAGGACCATGTTAACAGGAGATGGTCAATAAATGTGGGAAGGATGGCAGCAAGGGAGGGAAGAACACTGGCTTGCTGATTCCATTTGTCTCTGAGGTTTCAGAGTGTGAAATAGGAAACTAGAGCCAAGAACAAGTGATACATGTGATAACATGTAAGAAGTATCATAGGTGGTACTTAGAAGAACACAAAGATTACCTTTTCAGTCCTTTAGTTTTAAGGGCTTGCAGTAAGTAGGGATTAAATGATATCTGAATGAGTGAATTGTAAGGCTGGTGGCAGGGGCCCCCTCCCCTCCCTAGATGGAAAAAGAAAACGCTTAGTGACCTGACCTGACAAGGACAAACTGCCAGGCCCCACTGAGAGGAACCACACCCAGATCTCCACCTGGATTCGCTCCTGGATTCCACAATACCTCCAGCCCCTCCTATTTCTCAACGACCATCCAAGGTCTCAATAGAGAATCCCAGCTCTTCCCGCCACAAGTCCCTAGCCCTGCCCAAAGGGTATAAAAGGCCTCAGCCCCTTCAAATTGCGGCGACTTCCGGGGCACCCCGCTCTTGGGGCCCCAGAACCTCGTCCACGAGTGTATAATAAAGCCACGTGGTTTGTCCCCCCACTCTTTCTCTTTCTGTGTCTCCTTTCTTTTCGCCCCCACAGAAAAACCTTACATGAATAGTTTGAATGAATAAAAGTATTGGCACCTTTGCCCAACAAGTTTTAGAAATAAATGGTTTTCTTATCTCCTCCATCTCTTACTCTGCCTCCAGGCTCTCCCCTAACCCTAGCTCCCAAACTGCCACCTTCCCTCCCTAGGAGATACATGGGATAATAGAAGAAGACTCTATTTCTTCTATTGAATTTTATCTAATGAGTAACCACTCTGTCTTCAAGTTAGTCACAACTCAGTTCAATTCCTACAACACTAGACTACCTAAGACATAGTTTCTGGGCCTTCCAGGGTCACAAAATAAAAAAAAAAAATCATTCAGGTCTCAGCAGGACCAGCTAGCAAAGGGGGAGCATAGTTCAGCTTGTTATTCTACAGGTGTATTTCCAAAGTACTGGATGATCCTAGGGTTAAAAAAGCAGCACCTACATGAACGTAAGCTTATATGTTAAGGGCTGTAAGGGGCGTTGTGAGCTGTCTGGTTCAAAAGCTCTCAATTTTTTTTTTTTTTTTGGTTAAAAAAAGAGGCTCAGAAGTTAAGAAGTTTCCAATGTCACTTTCCTGGTCATAGCAGAGATGGAACTGGGAATAAAGTCTAATGCACCCATTGCCTCCTAGAACACAATCTCTTCTTTTGCTTCCCATTGCCTCAACCCTCCAAGTGGAAATTCGCCCTCCTATATTACAACTGATATGGACAGATCCTTAAAAAGAGATTCTGGCACACAGAGAACTTGATGATAAATTGGAAGATGATGCAAGCACAAGGGCTGATTCCAGAAATAAATCATATCTTCACATAGTGTTTACAGAAATTGTGTTTTGAAAAGTTTCCATAGAAATTATTTTACCCACCACAGGAATGCTCCTTTCTCCCACAGGGATTCAACCCACTGAAAGGGAAGCAGAATGTAGGAAGAGTAGTAATTTAGATTTATATATAAAACATTAGTTGGAACCTAATAACCCTTAACTAATCAGAATATTTTATGCATTCTGCTTTTTAGCAGAAAGAGCAAACCACAAGAAAGCAATCATATATCAGAGAATTAAAAAATGCTTCCAGGGTTTACCTTGGGCTCAGAAAAAATTTTCCCCAATTCCCTGCACTGCCTATCTTTAATATATCCCACTGAAACCTCCCTACTCCCCCTCACATGTGATTTTTTCATTTAATTAATCTGCCAATATTTATTGAGCTCCTCTTTGATGTGCCAAGTTCTCCAAGTCAGAGATGAAGATGAAGGTCTTGCCTTCAAAAAGCTCAATGCCTAGTTAGAAAGTTATCCTAACATTTAGATTTTAATCACACTGGTACAGTTATATTTCTAGTTTTATAAATAGATGATTGCTCTATACTGAACATTTCCATTTGGCCTTCCAAATCCACAGTCTACCATTTTGTATCCTGTTCTGTGCATCTGGGGGTGTGGGAGGGTCTGACCTTATGGACCAGATCAATCGGATTCCTTTGCCCTGAGGTTCATCAAATGGGAGGGAACAAAAGATAAGATCAGAGGGTGAGAGGAGAGAGAGGCAGGGGTATTTATTTCCCACTCCCCACACACATACCTTGTTCCCCACACGTGTAGGTGGATAGTGACTCCATTCCTCTCCTAAAGGCCACAGCACCTGTTAGGTAGCCCTCTCCTGGAACTTTCGCTTGGGCTGGCAGCTGTCATACAAATCACTGTGACTGCCCATTACAAAATAATGAGCATGTGTCTGAGAAAAAAAAAATAATAATACATTTGGGAACTAAGGAAGTTGCTACTTAAAGTAGCTAAACAGAATGAAAATAGGTCAAGATATTTTCCCTATTTACCCTTTGAAAAACAATCTATCACTTCATATCCACAGGTGGCTGAAAAACTCCATATTTTCTGTCTTTCATAAACCTAAACCTGCTATGCCAGGATGACAAGTAGGGCCAATTTTATTTGGTTGAGCATAGTTTCCTGGTACATAGCCATAGTTTTGGGGCTCATTCTCAATATCTGTATCTCAGTATCTTCCATGGACATGGGGTCAGCAGATATGCTCTGAAACATTGATCCTGAATAAAACACCTATTTCTGTATCTTTAAATGATTCTTATTTGGGACAAGTCAAAAACTAGTAGAAGCTAAAGAGTTACAATGGTGTAATCTAGCCCTCCTCTTTCTTCACTCATTCACATATAGAGGCACAAGAAGGTTAAATGGTTTGCTGAGATCTGAATTACATAAGCATGCAGATTTTCTCCAAGTTCATGCTCAGTTCTATTTATTAATGAGAAAAAGTAAAGAAAAACATTGCTGATTGCAGTTGTCAGGGGTTTGAAGAAGTCCAGTGGAATCTGGCTGGCTGAAATGGAATTTGACTGAGACAATGAGGTTAAGACCCTATTTTTAGAAGAAGATATCTTTTGATCTTGTTTTCAGAAAGGTCAAGATCTAAGTACTGTTTTACTTTCAGTAGCCACAGCTAGGATCTTAGCATCACTAGATAGGATGTCAGAAGGGATCTAATATAGTTTGATTATAAAGACAAAGCAGAAAAGAGCCTATCTAAAAGCCACTCTGGGAAGGTTTCTTGAGATCTTGCTAGAGTTCTTTTTGTGAAAGAGAAACTTTGAAGTGGGAGGCCTGTTTGCCCCACTGGGAGCAACAAGGGGGCAAACAGGGAGTCATAAAGTAGCTGGGAGCTAAGGATGGTGATATTAAAATAGGTGAGCAGATAGCACATAGATCTTGTCTTTAGGACTATAACCCCCTGGAAAAGATACATTGTACAAAGAGAGAAAAGAAAGTAAAATGTACTTTCAAAAGTTTAATTTGTATTACAGAACACGTTCTTACAAAAAGAAAAAAAAAAAGTTTAATTTGGCTAATTTTTAAGTTCCATTTCCTCCATGAAACATGCCATGGTACTGAAGAACAATACATGCAAATTATTCACTTGTGTCTGCTTTGACTCTACCCACCCTCCCCACCTTCTCTTAACCCTAAATAGCTTCATTTTTGTGGAGTAGGAAACAGAGTCCTTAAGGCAAGATGTTGAATTTGGCAACACAAAAATTGTGGCCTGGCCCTTAATTTTAAGAAAAAGATACTGTGAGAAAAATCCCATTTTGCTATTTATATCACTTAGTCTCTCCCTTGATTTTGCTGGATGGCATCTTCCAGAAGGAAAGTGATAGCGAATGACTACCTTAAAATCCTAAAAAATCGTCCCCCAAATAAGATAAACCTCTGATTATTGTCATTACACTAAGATGCTATAATTTCCTCTCTCCTAAAAACTACTAGGAAAAGACAGCATCTTTTAACATTAGGGGTGGTGAAATGAGAGTATTAGCCTTTTAAAAATCGGACATTTACTTGTTCTGACTTTGAAGACTAACACAAGGATGTGGCTTTATGGGAAACCCTTCTCCACTTGGACAGGCCAGCCCTAGCCTCTTCAGCTTTACAGTTGTATCATTTAAAGTACAGCATTTATCTGGGGACTGCAACTTCCTGTTCTTATTTGTTCTGTGATTTTGGTTAAGATACTTAGTATCTGTGGATCAGTTTCATCAGCTACAAAATGAAGCCTTAAGCCAAAACTGAAAAAAGAACAATCTCCAAATCATTATTACAGTTTCACATATACTTTAATAGCTCTTGGAAGTCATCTCACTCAAGGGCAGAATATACTTCACTTTGATTTGTGTTCTTACAATGGGTCCAGCATGAGATGGAATGGCCAGAGACTTGTGGCTATATCCCCATAATTACAAAGAGAAAGGTTTGCTTTTATTATGAAATCTCCTTCTCTGCATTTGAAAAACACATTCAATATAAATGAAAGTTCAGGGGTGAATGGATTGTGCTTTAAGTAAGTTTTGAATACAATTGCCAACTAGTCTTTGCAGTCTGCAAAATTCTTCTTTAAGTGAATAAATGTGTAGGGCAACTCTCCATTACCTTGATCAGCATCTAATACCAACCTGACACTTAGAATTAAATTAGAGAAACAAAACTGGATACTTTGAGACTTGAGGGCTGATTATACTACTAGAGCTAAGAGTGGATTTAAACTCTTCCCTTATCCCATTTAAATCTAACTAGGTATAAACTCTCCATTACTGAGGAATAGAGGTGTGTCTGCAGAGGTGGAGGTTCCCCTTGATGTTCTTGGACAAGGAAACCTAATCCTTTCTTCTGACACACATGGTTGCAATAGAAACTGTTCCCCAACTGCCAGTCTGGTTTTAATCTGCTGTTTCTAGCAAGAGAGGATTTGCAGGGAATGTTAAGGAGAGAGCAAAATTACTAGAACTTACTATAAAAGTGTTGATGAGAAATCAAATTTTAAACATGTATTCAAAATTGTAAGCATGAATGTATGTAGACATATAGTGCATATTATAAGTATAGGACTATAAAAGTTTTTAATCTTAAGTATAAACAAGTCTGCTTTCAATATGACATTTATATCTCATTTTATTAAAGCTCTTCAGTTTACCAAAATGATAGCAGCGGTAAAATACTGTCATTAAATACAGTGGTGCTTCGTTTAAACAACATTGTTGGAGAATGAGGTATTCCATAGGTGAATTTTCCATTTAACCAAACTTTTAAAATGTTAACCATTTTATACGGCAACATTTCAAAAGTGCACCACAGTATTTTTCTTTAAAGAAATACTGAATAATATATTTCCCTGAAGATTTACAGTTATCATTATTAAAAACTTATTAAAATAGACTGAATATATACGTCTCTTAAAAGATGGTGAGCTTTTTGGTCATACTTTCCCCAACACCAGAATGCTGAAAAAAAGTGCAAAAGTAGATAGAACTGGTTCCCTTTTAACGATCCTGTGTCTTTTCTGTTGCTGTCAATTGTTCCTTCTGGCTGTTAAAAGCACTAACAATCTGAAAATTGTTGTGTTATTTGTTCAAATCTGCTTTAGACTTAAAAGATGTGCCTACTCTGCATAAGCCACTATTATAAATGATGGGGGAAATATGAGAATTATAAACTATAGTCCTTGTCCAAGAAGCAACTTAGCTGGCTGAGTGACACCTTAGAGTTACCAGGTCACCACTGAGGTACAAAACAGTTTATTACTTCTAATACAGTCTCAAAGCTAGTAAATAATTTAAGATATCAGGATATTGAAATTATCAAACTTGGAGTCTGATATACCCTTTTTTAGCGGGAATATATTTTGGAATATCTCCCATGAAAATATAATCAGTCATATGAGTCAACAGATAAGACTTAGAACTACTCCCTGAGGAAATAAAGTGAATGTACCTTTTCACAGTTTTTGGTGCACCACAGTCTTATTGGTGGGTTTTATCTTGCAATCTGGATGGCTAAGGATGTTAGGAATTGCAAATTCCTAGGGTCATATACTCTAAATAAAAATATACCTGTAAAAAAGCTGTATTGTAATGTTTTGTTCTATTATGAGTCTAAACATGTAAGGCATTTATAAAACTGCATTTTAAAAGGGATACTATATATCCTTTCCCCTGGCAAGATCTTTTCCCTGGGCTTCAGCAATCCCACATTCTTTAGGTTCTCCAACATCTCTTGGCTACTTTTTAAAATTTCCATCATCTGACCACTTTTAAATTCCACAAACTCTATCTGGCGGTCTCGAAGATTTCCTTGGTTTCAGTTACCATTCGTTTTGTAGTTCAAATGTCTCCTGAGCTCCAGACCCATGCATCTAGCTTATAGGCATCACATTCGGAAGTACTACAAGCAATCAAATTTAATAGCCCAAAGCAAACAGATCAATTTTGTTGAAGAATGAAACTTGATTTTCTTAGTTTTTGTTTTCCTTCACCTATAATTCCTTCCCTGCTCACTTCTAAATAACACAAATTATGCTTGAACTGCATCGGTACTTTGTACACTTTTGAGATTTTACTGTATGGTTTTGTTTCACCCTGCCAGATTTCTGCTCCTTAATAGTACAGGCATCTGCACTATCTCTTACACAACTTATCTCCTACTTCCCCCTGGTAATTTTCAATATGAGCTAAATGGATAAATAAAGCAAAACACATAATCTCTTTCAGTTATATTTTTACTGAAAGATTCTTAATTTGGGGGATTTTTAGGTGCATTAACAGAAGAAAGAGAACTGTATTAACCTCTCTCATAATTTAACCCGAAACAAAACAATTTCTTTCACCATATACAACCTTCTTCCTGAAGCCTTTGCTGGACCAGGTCGAAGCACCACAGTCCTAACCACTTCTTCCCCCCACCCACCAAACCCGGCGTTTGCTTCTTTAACACCTAAAATAGTGTGCATTATTTATTTATCTGCTACCCAACCTGGTCGTACACTTCTTAAAGGCAAGATATGTCTTTCCTCGCACATTCAGTAACTAGCACAAGTAGGGTTCAAAAAACTTTGCAGACCGAATGAATTAATGAAGCCACACAAATCTCAAAAGACCACGCATAGAGCTTCTACTAGACATGGGAGCCCCCATTCCTGGAGAAACTTCTTAAAAGTTGCCTCTGGATAGGCAGGATCAGAAAGGCAACCTACTTTACTTTCTTCCCAATTTAAAGTGTTGTTACAAGCGTCCCCGAAATAGAGTTACCCAAGGAAGCCTACGCAAAGACGATAAACCCAAAGAAAACACTAAAGCCAAGGCCCACCGGGTTCCCGTCCCACCTGCGCGGCAAACACAACACGCCCCCTCGGCTACTATGCCCGGAGGACACGGGCATGCGCAGCAACACAGGAGGGGCGGGACTGAGACTGGCTCTCTGAGCAGACGTCATCCAGTACAAGACGACTCCGCCCTCCTTAAGATGGCGCTGCACTCAACGCGGAAGGCGCGTGGGTGCTGGAGCTTCATCCGGGCACTTCATAAAGGACATAAAGCTGCTCCCGTTCTGCAGGTAACTGAGGCTGGCCGTTCTCCCGCCAGCTTTCCATCCCGCGAGGTCTTTCTCACTCTCCCTCCCTCCACTTATTTCCCCCTTCCCGCTTCCTCAGGACCAGCCATTTCTCGTGTAAGGTCGACTCGTCTCACCTATCACTGCTCTCCTACTCGAAACGTGGCGACGTTGCAAGAATACGTGATGACGTAGCACTGGCGGAAGGAGCGCGCTGCCGCCTGACCTCGTGGCCGCCGCCTCTCTCCGCAGGAGCGCCGCGCCGCCGCCGTTGCCCGGCAACGCGGAAAGCCAACACCTGGTGTTACGTTTCAGAGACCCCAGTCATTCCGGGACTGCTCTCTTTCTCAAGGTCCCATTTCTCTCTTTACTCCTCTTTCTCTAATAGCACGCCAACGGGCCAGCGGAGACATTAGACAAAACGTCTTATTAGTAACTGGGCAGTTTAGGTGGGTGCAGCTGCTTGACGTCCTCCCTCTGGCAGTGTGGTACTTGAGCAAGTGTCAGTGCATCTTCCACTCTAGTTCCTCTTCGTTGCCCCAAGTTTGTCCCTTATCTAGCAGGCTCTGTGAAAGAAGGACAGGAAGCTGCCAAAGTGCGCGGTCCAGTCTTGCGCTTGACAGCACTGCTGTTACTGTGGTGTACTGAGAGCAAGACAAGCGGCCTTCATCCTGTCACTTTGGGATTTTTACCCTCATGACAAAAATGGGGAGGCGGAATACTCTTTTATTTATCGACACATTTACCAAACGTCTTCCAAATGCAATCTCAGTGTTAAACACTTTGATGTACATTATCTACGGAGATATCTTCTGGGATCTAGAGATAAAGGAGATTCTGTGATTACTAGATAATTTCCTGGCATCTTTGCGTATTCATTGTTATGATGAGTAGGTGTGAAGGTATCATATTGTATCTGGTGTATTGGAAGCAGCCCTAGACTGGAAGTTAGGAAACCAGAAGTCAAGGGCTTTGTCTGCCACTTGCAAGCTGTGTGACAATGACTAGTCACAGTCTCTGGGCTTATTTTCTTTAGCAAATTGAGTGGAGGAAGAGTTGGATTGATTGACGTGTTAATGTTCCTTCAAGGTTTGTAAAATCTATGGCGCCATGATTATGAAGCCAAAGTAAAGCCAATGAGAGTAATTATGAAAACCAAGATTTAATTTCAACTTATTTTTCTGATCATCTAATAAATTTTCTGAACTGCTGCTGCATTCTTTATTGATGTGAGCCTCACAAGATTCTTATGAGAATAAAGGACATAATATGACGGAAAGCTCTTTGACAACAAACAACTATTTAAATGTTATTTTAAATTTCAGCAGCAATGTTAGGTAAGAATTGATTCAAAAATTAGACAAATCCATCAAATATTTCTCTCCTTTAAGTTTGAGGGTTTGATTCTGCAAAACCAGAATTAGTTGATTATTTATAGTTAATAGCATATTGAAACCTATGCTATCAAAGTAAATAAGCCTTAGACCCAAACTCCCCCTCATTTCAGACTAAAGGATTGAGAATGTCATGAGAATAGAGAATCAAAGAGAGAAGGAAAACAAACTAGAGCCCACTAATGACTGCCCAGGGAAGTTTGGGACACTAAATCATTATAAATGCTAAAGAAAAAATTTCTGAAACCTCTACTATTGTTTCAGTGGCATTTATGAATAGGGCTGTTCTTAAAGTTAATTGTTAATCTGGATTGTTTCAAGATGTAGAATTTCCAGGGCAGATTAATGTTTCCAATCCTTTTATTTAGCATTGAGTAGAGTAAGAATTAAATGTTTTTTTTAAAGTATAAATCTACATAGAATTTCAGTCATTAAACATGGTGATTTGAAAGACTAATGCGATCTTTTGAAAGACTAATTGAGAAAAGATACAAAATTGCATTCAGAGTGTGATTACAATATGCTTATATATAAATATTTGTGTAAATATACACACAGAAAAAAAGACTGGAAGGATACAACCATATTTAACTTTTTTGTTTTGCTTTGGTCTTCCTAAATAATGAGTTAAAAGTGATTTAAGTTTTCTTTAAGCATTCTGTATTTTTCATATGTTCTAAATTGAAGATATATTCCTTTTATAACCAGAAAAAAGTTTTGAAAGCATAAATCTCCATACAAATCTGTAGTCATCAATAGTGTTTGAGAAAGATACTTGTCCCACAGTGCCATTATTAAAATGGGCCTTAGAAAAGGACTACTAAAAATTTATGGCCACTTTTCCTGTATGTATCTTCTTTTTCTCTTGAAGAGCTTTCTTTGAAGTCTAAGGGATTTTGTGAACAGATGCAGAAATATGTGAAGGAAGAATTGGATTCTTAAACCAGATGCATTAGACATTTTTACGATATCTCATAACCTTTGTAGAAAACAAAAATTATTTTGCAAGAGTATAGTATAATAGAAAGAAATGTATATTTATCATATGAGTGGTTCTATCAAAAACCAAGAAATAGCCAAGTTACTTTTTTATTAGTTTTGGCTGTGCACTTAATCCCCGAGGTGAGAAGCCAAAGTGGATGAGCTATAGCAGCGCTTTATTAGAAACTGTAACTGGTACAGTATTGTGATTCCTAAGTTATTCTAACATTTTGGGGATTTGTTGTTGTTAAACAAAATCTTGGGTAAAAAGCTTGGCATTGGGAACCTTTAGTTATCTCCAATGCAGGTTTTTTTGCCCCTCAAGGCCAGATATAAAGTCAAGTTTAAAACAAAAAAGAGAAATAGGAATAACTGCATGTAGTGCCATACTCATTATGGGATGTCTACAATTTATATGAAAATGGTTTATTTTGCCAGGTGTTGCCTGACTGAAAACTGTTGAAATCTGACGAGATGAGAGTAGTCATAGAGTCAGAGGAATGAAGATCTGACATGTTATGTTTAAATGCTCAAGGAATTAGGAAAATTTAAGCCTGTCATCATTGCCCAAACACAGAATCCATACTTCTTTAAGCACTAACTCACGATTGTACTATGCAAAGAGTGAAATATTGATGGTTAGTAGATTTTTGCAAAAATATTTATAATCATTCAGTTGAAGTATAAAGTAGGCACATTTTATTGTGGTTGAACAACATGCTTCATTATTTGTGATCCCCAGCCTGGGTTTGGCCACTATTAATGTAGTATTCCTATTGTTAATGGTCACTAAATGTAGCCATTAGATGAAGGAATCATGCCTACAAAAAATAGACATGGCTTTACATTTTTTATCTTCCATTTAGTTCTCACAGCAAAGATTTTTTAAAAAAATTATTTAAAAGTAATATTAGATTTACAAAGTCACAAAATTAGTACAGAGAATTTCTGTATACCTTTCACCAAGCTTTGTCTTTAATAAGCATAATTATCAAAACTAAGAAATTAACATTGGTACAATACTAGGAATTTAGCCACGGACCTAATTCAAATTTTACCAGTTTTTTCACTAGCCCTTTTCCTGGTCTAGGATTTTTTTTTAAATTCAGGATCCCACATTGCATTTAATTGTCATGTCTCCTCTAATCTATGACATTTCTTCAATTTCTCCTGACCTTTCTACTTTTGAAGAGTAATGGTGAGTTATTTTGTACAACGTCTCTCAATTTAGGTTTGTCTGATGTTTTCTCATGATTAAACTGAGGTTATAGATTTTGGCAGAAGAGGTGTTATTCATAATAAGGCCAAGGCCTGTATTAGCACCTTATTTCAAACATGAGTTAAGTAACTTGCCCAATATCACACAGTTTAATGGTGGAATTAGGTTGGTAAAGTTTACTGTGGGCACTTCATTCCGTATTTTGCAATTAGTATTTGTTATTTGTAGGTTTCTGTTATCTTAATTGGGGTAGTATTCCATGTGACTTTTAGTTTTTCTCTGCCATGTATTGTCCATGCAACATAAGCTAATCAGTGTGGAAAGTGTTCAGGAGTTGCCATAGCCATCTGGGAATTTTACTAGTTGATGACTATCAGTTTGATTGGGCTACTTCATATCTTTGTGCTTTTGTTCAATGGTAAATAAGGGTGTTTTTTTGGATCCACTCTAAAGTGCCTTTTAATGTTAATCAGTGAATCCATTTGTTTACAATGCTCTTTAGGTTGGTTGCTCTTGTGAACTGACTTAGCTTATTATAAATGATAATATTGCAGTTCTTTGAAAAATATTTTTGAGCTGCTAATGAAAACTACTGATAGATAGAAACTGCTGAAAATATAGAGGCAGAAGAGTAGATAAATGGTGAGGATTTATGCTAGCAACTATTATGGCAGCCACAGCCTAGAAACATGAAAGAGAGTGATGCTGCTGACCCCAAATTCTTTCTCAATGTATCTTTTGCATGACTATATAGAGATGTATAGAGATGTCTATAGAGATGTCTACAGAAGCTTATACAAATATATATATATGCATATATATATTTACTGTGCATTAGACATATATATTTAAACATAGAAAAGGAGCTAACAGCTAGTACCTCTGTATACTAAAGCTTTACGCTATGTGCTGAAAATACTTTATCTTATTTACTTCATATAACAAGCTTGTTAATATTACTCTACCCATTTCATAAAAGAGGAAATAAAGGCTCAGAGAGATTAGGTAATCTTCCTAAGTCACAGAACTAGTAAATAGCAGTGACAGGATTCAAATAGCAGTGACCAGTATTGCCTGTGCTTTTCCCACTTGCCCAGTATAGTTTCTTATCAAATGAAATCTTACGTGAATCCTAGTTAGATAAAACAGATAAAAGCAAGGCTTTTCTGATTTAAGAAGCAGAGGAGTCTCTTCAGCTCTGCTTGCATGCTTGGCTGCTCCTCCCTTACCTCCCTCCACACAACCCAGTGGGCCCCCTGAGATGGTGCCACACAATCTTGGATTTCTTCAGATATAGTTTGAAAAATACTGCAGCTTCCTTAAATATCCAATTGAGTTTGCTGATCAGAAGCGCATATGATGGAGGGATTATTTTTAAGGAGCTGCACCTATAAATGAGTGGTTTGAGAGTGTTTACTTTGATATGTATGTATTATACAACTAAAATACAACATCTATTTATCTTAAGCCATGTGAGCAAGTACATGAGATAATAGCAATCAAACAACTTTCTCTTTCCTTCTTTCTCTTTCACAGCTTATTTATGCATAATATGCTGATCTTTGTGCACAAAGATAGTGCTATGGATTAACTCTCACTCTTGTAACTAAATTAACCTGGCCTCTAGCCTCCTCACAAAGCACACTTACACCAGTTCCGTCTTGATTCTATTCTACAACCAGCACTCAGGAGTTCAGGACTTTTCTCTTCTGTAGACTACGGCATGAGGCCTACATCTTCCTCCTAAATTTCCACAGG